AGTTGACACGTAATCCTTAATTGTGATGGAAGCATGGTCGAGTCGGCAAAGATCATGGTTGATAAATTCGAAAAAAGTCTCGAGTTCAAACCCTCTGGCAGATAAGGCTCGATCCTCCCAACACTAAAAATTAAGAACGAAGAAGAAGAAGATTATATAAAATCCATCTCATTCGGGAGCGGGGGGGGGGGGGGGGGAGGGGGTAGACTTTCTTCGGGGGGGGGGGGGGGTGGGCTCAGCAAGAGATGCCTGGAAGAAACTCTGCTGGAATGTCCTCCTCAGCACTTCAGGGCACAAAGCCTGGGCAGTTAATTGAGGAGAGTTAGATGTCGCCCTCGTATCCACTCCATACAGCAGCTGGACCCCGGGGGAAAGTTGTTTATACCGATGTTCCACCCTCAGCTGTAACAAGTGTTGCTCTCGGGCATCTGTGCGGAGGGCCGGGGGCATTTTTCCCTCCTTCCACCTGTACACGCCCCCACTCCCCGGACAAACTTTCGCTGTAGCAACCCCTGATACCTACGTGTACGCTACCTAAAAAACAAATTAAACGAAAAAATGTAATTTAAAAAAAAACTTTTTATAGCACGTTTTTATATAACATGTACTAAAAAGAAGATAAATTATTTTCTCTAATCATATAATAATTATATATATATATATATATATATATATATATATATATATATGTGTGTGTGTGTGTGTGTGTGTGTGTGTGTGTGTGTGTGTGTGAATAGCTATAAAGAAAAGCGTGGGTAGCTTCTTAAATTTTTAGTAAAGGTATTAAAATAGATAATTTGGTTACATCCCTTTAGATTAACGTCCGTGTAAAAGTGTGTATGTGCATGTTAGGTATAACAATGGCATAAATTATATGTACATGTCTGTATATCAATCAATCTATAACATAAGCCGGACAAGTAGCTAGCAGTGTTTCTTCCAGACTTTTTTCTCCGGGGGGGGGGGGCAACTTGATATTTTCGGGGGGGGGGGGGGCGGGGCTGTGAACATTTTCCGGGAGCGGACACTGATAAAAGTATATGTTTTTATATATAAATTCCATGTCGTTCGGGGGGGGGGTAGACTTTCTTCGGGGGAACCCCCCCCCCCCCCCCCCCCCCCCCCCCCCCCCACCCCGAAGAGATGCCTGGAAGAAACTCTGGTAGTTAGCCAATCGCACAATCCCCAACCTGGAGGACCAGGGCCCAACGTATGGTCTAGCCCCTACCCACTGTAAGATGGCTGGTATAATGCTGACCACATTAAACCTTCGTATGCCGTGGTCAAGAAACATGAACTCTACTTCATCTGCCCAATGGATCTCTAGGTCTAAAGGGGAATCTGTAAAAAGCTACAAAAAATGCCAGGCAAAGGGGGGTAACCTAATAAAATAAATGAAAATGCTCATGCTGGGTATGTATGTATGGACAATCATATAAGTTAAAATATAACAAAACAAATATAGAATAGACTCGTTGTAAATATAATATTGTTTTGAAGACTTTGTCTGATTACCTTTTCAAAATGTTTTTATGCATTTTTTACTGAATGTTTAAGCTGGTATCTTTCTTAGCTTGTATGTGAAAAAATGTGAAAAATTGGATAGAGCTGGTTGATTTGATCTTATGTGTAATGTTAGTAAACAATACATTGGTTCTAAAGATAGATCCAGATTAGACGGAAAATGGTAGACGTAATGCAGTTCAGTCACATTGCATTGACTAATCAAATCATTATACATTTCTCTCTGAATCTAGACTCTAGTCCCTTTTTTGTTAAAAAAAGAAGTAGAGATTGTCAATCTGTAAAACACATTTCGATCTAGCAGTTTTAACTGATTAAAAATAAGTAATAAGGTAAAAAAAAATAAAAACAACAAAGAAAATAAAATATTTTAAAATTAAGAGTAGGCCTAGGCCTATTTTTATTAAAAATATTAAGTAAGTATTAGGGCCCTAAGCCTAATTTATTAATAGATCTACTAATAACTAGGCCTAATAAATATTATTTATTAGTTATGCCTATATTTGATTCAAGTAGTTAGTTGATCTTAGTCCTCGAAGAGTCATAGGTTTAGCGATGGTTTAGTTTAGTAATTACTAAATTAGTAATTACTAATTAGTTAGACTAGGTACAGAGGTCTGGTGGTAGAGAGCACAACTTGACAAATGTTAAGTTTTGATCCAGTCCAGGGCTTGAGTCTCTGAGTCCACCCAGCTCTGACATGTACCTGCCCAACCACCTTTACTTTCCCTAACATATAACATAAGTCACTGACTTATGTTAGGGAAAGTAAAGGTGGTTGGGCACAGAGGCATAGCGACCCTTCCCGGTGCCTGGGGACAAATTTTTTATTTGCACCCCCCCCCCCCCATACTTTCAATTTCCTTCAATTTCTTTTTCCAACCCATTTTGGCTGCCCCCCCCCCCTCGCTACGCCCCTGGTTGGGCATAGTGTTGATCACACTATCCTTTAGGCTTTAATGTCCCAGAAACAAGTGTGATGGGTTGGCTGTTTGAAAAAGTAACATTTTACTTGACATTTTGTTACTTGTTAGTTATTAGTTTAAGGTACAAATAAGACTTATTATAAATAGACATCCAGAAACATTTAACCCTACTATGACTGGCTGATAACCTGAACAGTGGTCTGTACTGTTAACCTACAGGCAACATAGTAGTTTTTTAATATTAGACAATGCAGTGGTCTGTAATAGTAATTATTTACTGCTAGAGTTTACTGATTTAGTTTACTAAACTATTATAACTATTACTACCCTAACATTTTTCTTCTTCTTTCTTAATGTTTCTGTTTAACATAAGGGGTTCACATAACAAGACCAACATCGCACATTACCTGCATTGTTGTCTATATGCACCCTATACCAGTGGCGTAGCAAGGTCGTGTATCACCCGGTGCGGCACTTAATGGAGTCACCCCCCAGAGGCGTAGCGACCCTTCCCGGGGACAAACTTTCAAATTTTCAATTTGCACCCCACCCCTTAAACTTTTGATTTGCACCCCCCGTCAAGTTTTTCTCTATATATTTTGCTATTTTTTGCCTTGATGTCAATCCCTAAATGGTGTCACCCGGTGAGGTCCGCACCCCCCCCCCCCCTCGCTACGCCTCTGCCCTATACATTGAACAATTTTTCTCTGAGTGAGGTGTTTTGGGCCAGAGTCAATACAGCATCTGTAATTATAGTGTAGTCTTGTAAAACATTAAGTATTTTCCAGTGCCAAAATTTTGGTTGATCGTGCTCATATTATTTTAACACTTAAAGTGTAAGGGGTGGTTAATCATTACAAGTAGTAGTTGTAATGTGTTATATGGGGTTGGGTATACAACGATATAATGTGATTCCCATAATAATATATCAGTTTTTCTAGAGCAGTGCCAAATTGTTTGTGGTTTATGAGGAAGTTGGGAGGGTTATAGAAATGTTATTTGAGGCATGTTGATCTATGGTAATGTTATATAATTATATGGCTGGAGCAAAAATCCCACTGTAATATACATGACTTGGTTCCAGCCCAATGTTTGCCTTGTGATGTTGACCTCTTCCCTTCTGAAGTTGTTCCTGTTCACCCCCTATGCAGGCCTTAATATCATTATCCCTGTCAATTGGCTACTTGAGGTTTGAAACAGGTCTTCGTAGCGCATTTTGTCTGGCCATCTTATCCTAAGAATTTGTTGTGTCAAATACATAGTTTATGAATAATAGTGAATTACCCTGCTGGTGATATAGAAGCACTTTTATTAGCACTAATTATAATTTATTATATAGATATGATGAAGAAATGGTACTATTTAATTTAAAAGTAAATCAGGATTTCTTTGTTTGATTTTTTTTTCTGATAAACTAGAAACTCAGACTATTTGATCATTTTAATTTGCATATCCAACAACAAAGACTGAACTTTGTGTGGTTATTGACAGTGTCGAGGTTAGGTTGAAGTATAACTATTGCCAATATTATCTTTAGGGCCTAGTAAAAATGGCTTATTGACATATTTAAGTCAGTCTAGTGAGTCTACTAATGTCCTTTTTAAATTCAGTTTCTATAGACCCCTAAACTTTAATCCTATTTGTTTTGGGATTTTGAAAAAAGGAACATTAAATAAAAACAAAATCAGTTAACAATTATAGGCCAACTTATATTAAAGTTCAAATGACCAGCCTTTGGACTCTGGGTAAACTTAACGAGTATGAATTTTGACAGGGGACTGCACTCTAGTATGTGCACACAAGTCATAAATCCCAAATTTTTAACACGCACTTACAGATGAATGCTACACTATTCCAACCAATGCATATGGATTGAAGAGAAAAAAAAATCACAAAATATTCCTTGAGAAAAATCAGACTGCAGTTTCTGCTGTTTTATAAAAAGTTTTGTTCTAAAGCCATATTTGTACCACATGTAATATATAGAGGGCAGAATGTTTAAAGAAATAAAAACTAGCAAATCAGCTGTATCACACATTTTGAATGAAAACAATTGTTGGGAATTGAAAGAAAAACAAGATAGCTCAATTACAAAGCGGAGGAAATAGGAAAATGTTGCAGTGGAGTATTTTTAAGGGGAAATTAAACACATGTGATGTTTATCATATTCTCTAGACTAAACATTCTTTGATGTCAGCTGAATATTTGTTCTGTTGTAGCATCTGCTGCTCATGTAGAATTGGGATAATGTGGCATCGTTTAGAATTAGGCTGGCTCAGCAAAACAAAATTAATGCAGGACAGCCTGAACTGTAGTAAAATTGTTACTGGATAAACACATTTGTAGTAGAATTGTTACTGGATAAACACAACTGTAGTAGAATTGTTACTGGATAAACACAACTGTAGTAGAATTGTTACTGGATAAACACAACTGTAGTAGAATTGTTACTGGATAAACACAACTGTAGTAGAATTGTTACTGGATAAACACAACTGTAGTAGAAGTGTTACTGGATAAACACAACTGTAGTAGAAGTGTTACTGGATAAACACAACTGTAGTAGAAGTGTTACTGGATAAACACATTTGTAGTAGAATTGTTACTGGATAAACACAACTGTAGTAGAATAACAATTTACTAACAACCAAAACTTGACTAATGTAAATGTAATATATTTAACTTTTGACAAACATATTCATAACTGAATATACACAAAAGCCTAATGTAATTGAAAATTGCTTAGATATTCAATGTATTAATTGATACATAAAAGAGACCTCGCAATATTTAAGAGTTTAGAGTTTAGATGTCCATTTTCAGTGTGAGCTTTTTTTTTTAGCATAATCAACAGCTACTAAGTATACAACATCATCCCTATTAACTTCATCATTTTTAATTTGATCATAGCTGTGTAATAATGTAAGCCTTACTAAAATTAGTTTTTAAAATAATCAAATATCAATGCTTATAGCACAGTAGCAGGTATACTGTTTTTGTTTTTCTAGAAGTAATTTTAGACCCAAAGTTTTATCATGTAATCATTAATAGGTTTAAATATATCTCATTAGCTGTGCTGTAGTTTTATTTTAAACTGTGACCAACTTATGATAACTTATCTCCCAGATATCATGCCCAGATAAGACACTACTTATTGAAGGTAAATAAAAACTGATTTGTTTTGTACAAATGTGAATTAGATCTAGTATATGATCTATGCTGTGTGAAATTTATTTTTAATAAAGTATCAAATTATTGTTTGTGTACTAGTTCATTATATGACCATTATTACTAGTGTGTTGTTTTTATTTTTTTTAGAATTGCTGATCTTTTAAACACAGGTAAAAAAAAACACACATTTTTACAAAATAAAATCTTCATTCAGTTTGCCCAGTGAGCTTTATGAAAAACACCAAAAAATAAAGGCCATAACTCTCTCTTGTCTTTAGCTTAACATGCTTTGTTTTTAATTTCAATTACATAATTAACTTTTTTTAAATTTTAGATTATGTAACAGCCTTCACTACAGACTGCATTAATTGATGAAAAAAAATTCCTTATGAAGAATGTTTATCGGAATTTTCGGCACTAGTCAGAAATGAATATTGAACGAGCAACCTCATTGGATGACTGGGTGTGGGTCAAGGACAAAGCTTTCTTGGTGGAAGAGGGAAGCTCAGTCCCCGTTTTCATGGTGGAGTGGAATAGCGTAGACAATGTATTTGCAGTGACTAGTCGCTACCACAGCAGGGTGGCCAGAGATGAACAAGATAAATCAGAGACTGGAGTTTTCAGCATCCCTGCTTTACACAGCATCCACCAGACTTTGGTTGCTATCAACCCTAATGCTCCCAAGTTGCCAAATAAGCTTCCCAAAGAGCCAAAAGGTCTCAAGGCTGTGTTTGTTGGGCTTCAGATCCCTAAAGACATGAGCAGTGTATGTAAAGATCTGGAAGCTTATTTCACCTCTGCTGCTGAGAAATTTGGGGGACAAGTTTTGTCTCAGGTTTGTAACATAGAATAAGTTTTCTCTCAGGTGTGTAGTAACATAAAACAAGATTTCACCCCGATGTGTAACATTTAACAAGTTTTGTCCAAGGTATGTTACACTGAAAAACTTTTTCCTAGGCATATAACATGAAACAACTTTTGTCCCACATAATATGTTGCACAGTCGAATGGTAGAACATTTGACTGCTAAAAATCTCAACTCAGCTCTAATGTGTAACTGACTCACCTTAGGGAAAGTATAATTCATATGCAGAGGTCATCACATAAGGCTCGATCCCTCCCAACACTAAAAATTAAGAACGAAGAAGAAGAAGACATATGCAGAGGTCACAGAAACAGGTAAACTATACTTCATGAGCCATAAGGTTCGAAAGGACATTTCACATTTTTTATGTACAAGAACAACCTTGTCCCTGGTATGTATCATAGATCAAGTTGTTTTTTTCTCTGCAGTGTTTTTGAACAAACTTTGAAATGTGTGACTCCTCTGTTGAAAATGTGTAACTCTTCTGTTTTATTGTTTGTAACTCCTCTAGGTGTTGTTTGAGGCTTCTGCCCATACGGTGGATAACTTTTATGAAAAGATGTCTGAAGTTTACAAGTATGGTCTGGAGCAGGTGAGGTCCATGTCGTGAAAGTTTTCCTGAATGGTGTGTTGTTGGTGCTGTGTACATTACTCTCTTTTGCTGTGCTTTTGCTCTATTTTGATTTGTCATCTTTCTTAAGAAAAAAAAAACATTTATGCAAATTTTCCATTTTATTTTATACAAGAAAATAAAAATAGCAGAGGAAGAGTTGAAGAATCTGGCATTTGAAAGGGACAACTGCACCGTGATGAAAGATCTGGAAGATGTTTACGCACGAGAAGATGAGGCAGTTACAAAACTTGTGTCAGCTCTGGCAGATTTCTACAACTACGAACTTCAGGTTAGCACTTGTTTTAGATCATTTGAATCAGGGTGTTGTTGTTATTTGTTATTTTTTCATTCAACACAACACAACTTGTAGATCTCATTTCACAGCAACTTCCTTGCATAAGTGACAGTTTTTTTTTAATTGATTATTATGACAATTTTCAAATGTTGTGATATTTCTTCAGCCATACTTAGACAGCCATTGTTTGGCAACAAAAGAGATTCAGCATTTTAGTCAACAAATCCAGAACCCTGACCTGGGAGAGAGAGTCAAAGCTGAAGCCACAGAAAAACAATTGTACTGGGCGTGTTTGCTGTTTGATGCTAATGATGTCATCGCCCGGCTCTATATTGAACACCAGTCTATACTTGTCTCTATATTTGAAGGTAACCAGATTAACTTTAATTATAAGTTAAGAAAGATTAACTCAAAATTGTAAGAACAGATGACTATAAGTTATAATAATGGAGTATTTAAAAATAATAAATTTGAAACTTTCACATGTAAATACAGAGATTGTAATGCACATTTTCTTTGTTAACTATCCCACAAAAACAGCTTTATTAACAGGACTATTGATTTGTTGAAATAACTTTCTTGTATTATAGTTCATGTTGTTGCCTTCTATCCCAATGTTTTGAAAATTAAAAAGTTTTCCAATAATTTAGACCTATGTGATTCCATTAAGCCTTAAAGTTCCTTCATAAAAATCTATGACTAAAAAGTGGAAGCCTACAAAATAAAAATAAAACAGTCCCCAAGTCTTAATATAGGCAGATACATTTAAAGTCAATTCTCTTTGCGATTTCAGACTTACTGGAAGAAATGAATAAAGATAAAAACAGATATGGATCTGGGGCTTTTGATTTGGTTGCTGCCAACAGAGAACTGTGGTAGGACAAATCTTGTTGACGACTGATTAGATCTTAAAGAAAAATCAGCTGTTGGAGACAGTTTTTGTTTGTTCTCTAGAACACTTGATAGGCCAGCTTGGTCATTCCTAACCTAACTCCACCCATCTCATTGGTTCCTGTTGAAATCAGCCCAGCTTAAAGTTATTGCACAAGCTGGTTTTGAATGTACATATAAGAAAAACAAGAATTTAAGATCAAATCTTGTTGAACAATGTGTTAAGATCAAATCAGGCAGAACATTAATTTTTATTAATGTTTCCATTTCTAAATTCTAATTTTTTTAATTTTTAGCTTGCATAAAGATCTTCATGCAGCCAAAGTTCAGCTTCTTTTAAGCAAGAGAAAACAACTCAGGCAGGAAAAAGATAAAGTCACTATGCAGGTTAGCATTGTAGGGTTTACAGATCATAGAGATGAATAAGATCTTAATCATATTCATATACAAAAACAGGGAACAAAATTATGAATAAAGTCATTTATGATTTAATTTTGTAGATTCCTGAAGGTGCTCAACCTGATCAAGTGAAGCAGCAGTCACTGTCTGATGGATCGCTAATTCACAACCTAGTCACAAAGAAAAATAACTTACAGGAGAAAATATACAACCTTGAACATGACATACTTGCAGAGAAAAAAAAATTAGTCAACGTCAAATTAGAGATCAGGAAACGGGAAATAGCAGGTATGTTGCACCATTTTATTTTTTTTTTCCCATTTTATAAATATTTACTAAATATTGAACTGTTTTCCAACTCTAAAAAATAAATAAAATAAATTTTTTAAAAGTATTACATAACATGGACATCATCTTGTTGTCTAGATTTATTGTTTATCTTTCCTTAGATGTGGAGGATGAGAAAGTTGTCTTTTATGATGCTGTGGAAGATGTTGATGAACTCTCTGAAAATGAAGATGCAGAAAATAGTGCCAAGGTTGATGGTGAAATGAAGAAACTAAAAGATGAAAAAATTAAGATCAACCAGCATCAGGCAAAGATTCGAGCAAAGAAGGTAGATATGATTTTTATGCTTTTATTATAGTAACATTTTTAACTGCCAGCCCACATTATGAAAATAATCGGCTATTTTATGTCTCTTTTTCAGGAACTCTTCCTAAAATCTATTCGCTCACAGCAAAATAAAGCAGATGAAGAGGAAAAGAAGATGATTCGTCATCACCAAATTCAAAAGGTACCTTCTTGATCATTGTCTCATGCACACTATTATAAAGTAAAATAAAGTTCACCTAAGTTAAATTCCACAGGCTTGTGTCTGTAGGTGTCTCTCCGAGTCCACCCATCTTAGGAGCTATTTTTTTCAAAAGTACTGTTTTATATTGGGATTGTTGTAATTGTAATATGGAAAGTTTTCTGATACCTTCAGTTGGAAGAGAATAGAAGTAGGTCTTTTGGCATTTTTTAAGTTTACTCATGTTTTAAATTTCTGCTGTAGAAAAGAGAACAACAGAAAGAAGAGGAACGGCAACTATCTGGTTTTGTCTTTGAGGAGCGCAAGAAAACAATTGATCGCTTAAAGGAATATAAAATGGTGAGATTGGCATCATTTTTTAAAACTTATTTGTAAAGCTTTCAGCTTGTACTTTGAAATCCTTTCTATTTTAAATTGTTTTTTTTTTGTCATTCTCAACATGAATGTTTCAGTAATTTGAGAAGTAGTTTAATGCTTTAATTCCTCTCATTTAGAAATATGTCAGTCCAGCTACAATAAAGCCACCAAGATCTCAGAAACCAGAGCGGCAAAAAAAAAATGCAACTACACCAAACATAGCAAAAGCAAATCAAAGACAAGCTCAGAACCTTCCGAAGCCATGGAAACAAACAAAGAAACATTCAGCAGAAGTGAAGGATATTCCAGTTTTTATTCATACAGGACCGTCTGGAATGTCAGAGAAAGGAGATGCTCCAGGTGCAACTACTGGACCAGTTGCACCCATAACACAAGCCCCTCCTCCACCTCCCCCACCCCCTCCTCCCCCACCACCCCCACCTGTGCCCTGTCTGCCTCCTCCTGTTCATAAATCAACCGGCGTTAGTGATATTGGTCAAGGCTTGAGTAAACTAAAAAAAACAGATCCTTCAGAAGGATCATCTAAAGCCCAGAGGATAGACCTCCAGTGTATACTAGATTCAAGATCCAGATTAAAACCTGCAACAGATCGGCATAACAAACAAGCACCAGAAACCAACTCAGGTAGGCAAATCAGCAGCTTCACATGCGACATGCTGTTACTTAACCTGTTGAGTGTCTTTAACCCTTTGAGCCCGCCAGGTCGGTAAACCGGCTTCAACATTAGGCATATATGTCCGAAAAGCCGGTTTTCCGGCCCGATGATCAAGCGTCATATTCCTAGCGGCCGGTATACCGTTTAATTAAATATAATTAGCGGAAGACTGACTAAAACTGCGCATATGTCTTTTGAGTGCGGGATTATGATTTTAAAAATTGATTTTTAGGAAAAGTGAAAGTGTTTACATTTCGTAGCAATGCCGCTGAAACGAAAAGCTGAGCCACAACCGTCGTCTTCATCACATAAAGTTGGTGCAAAAGATGAAGCAAAAGACCGAAATATCAACAAAAGAATTAGAATGACTGCATCTCAGGCAATACAACTAGTTATTGATTCTGATGAAGAAGATAATATTCCTGGTCTATATAGTGATGATAGTGATGTTGAATTTGAGACTGAACACAGTGACATTGAAATTGACAGTGACAATGAAACTGTTCAAGTACGTTATGATGCACGTGGTGTCAAGGACAAAGACTTGCCAAAACGAAAAAAAAACTGTTTACTGGTGCAAAACATGCGAAGTTTTTCTTTGCATCGGGTCCGACAGTGATAACTGTTTTGAAAGTTATCACACAAAAGTGGACCTCTAGCGTTTAACTAGTATGGCCAGGTATCAATAATAACAAAACAATTACTAAATGTAAATTGGTTTCTTCTATGTTCTATCAAAACAATAATTATGTGTTTGTTTTATATACATTGTTCTGTTCAAACATTGTAAAAAAAATAAAGAATTTCAGAATCTTTCTGCATTGTTGTTTGATCTTGAGTCTGGATACCAAATTTGGTCTGATTATCTCAAACGGTTCAAAAGTTATAGGCAAAGTTAGAAGCAAATAAGTGAAAATCGGTTTGGGCCTGGGAGCTCAGGAAATAGGAGAAATTAGGCCAGGGAGGCCAGGGCTCAAAGGGTTAAGGTATATTTAAATAATGAGGTATATTTAAAGTTTTCTGTGGTGTTTGACTTCTAGAACTGAAATCATGTCCTGATATAGGTGTTGATTTGAGGTCTTTTTAAAGATACAAGATTCTTGTATTTTTTTGTTTTTATTTGTGATTTATTTATTTTTTTGTGACATTTTTTTATTGTGAATTACAGATCCTTTGTCAGATATTTTTAGCATGATCCGCTCTGGTGTTACATTAAGAAAAGTTGAGGACAGTCCGGATTCAGAAGCTATGACAGCATTGTCACCATCTCAGCAGGGTCAAGATGCCAGAAGTCAACTCCACACAACTTTGTTGAATAAAATATGCCACGGTGTAAGAGGATCTTCCCCAGAATCTGATGATGAATGTCAGAGCGACAATGACGATTTTGATGATTAGCTATAAAGAATATTACAAGATTTACTTGTGTAATTCGCCACCTTTTCTCCTTGTGAAAAACATGACACCATCTAAAGTATTAACACCATGTAATCAGATAATTATTTGTAAATTAACCGTTGTTCATGTATACTCAAAGTAGTCATAATTTAAAGTGAACACCATGTAGCCATATAGAGAAATTTATGTTCAAGTCTGAAGCTTTATTGTAAATTGTCATGTTGAGCAGTTAGTTATTGATATTTAAATTCCAATGTACCTGTATTAATTGAAGTATAGCTCTTAATTGTAGATATATATTCTGTTGAAAATTTTTAACTCTAGATATCAGGCATTGTATAACTTGAATGAGCTACTTCAGATAATGAGCTTGTTAAAGATTAGAATCCACCCATAAAAAAAAAAACTTTCTACAGAAAAATGTTCACCCCCATCAATCCTCTGAAAGTGATTAGCCCATAAGTTTACCCAATTTTGACATTAAAAAGTAATGTGTGATTATTCTAAATAAAAATTTCAACTAGGCAGTCCTTTGTTTACCAGTAGACTGAATACACTTGCAATAACTTAGTATTTATTAAAATAAATGCTTGACTTCTGTAAGAGATTTCCTAACTTATTTATTAAAAAAATGTCTTTGAAGTAAAAAAATAGTTTTTTTGTATTCCCTAATATGATTGGTCTGGTGATTTATAAATAAAAGCCACATATGAAACTGCTTAATTATTTGAGATCATTCCTTCTGCTTTAATTTTAATAACATTTACTTAATCCATGTTACAAAATCACTCATACTTTGTATAAAAAGCCAAACAGTAGTAGATTATACATTTTAATGTCCATTTTTGAAGTGACATTCTCCAGATGCTGTAAGTTAGTAAGTCATCCTGCAACAGCACTGGGTGGGCTGTCTTTAGCTGCTAAATGGTACCAACTTCAGTAGTAGGTTATGGGAAGTAAATCCCTTATCTGTTCTAGTGAGCAATTTTCATGTCATCAGATGAAATAGCTCTGTAAATCAGTTGATTCAACATGCACATTCGGTCATGTCTCCTGTAGATAAAACCATTCAAATGTAATTATTACAACAAACAAAATTGTCAACAAATTTATAGATATTTTCATAGAAACACAAATATTTCATCATATTCCCCTAATTTTATTTAAGTACATATCCCATAAATATATATAAAAATTAGTTAACATAAAAATTAGTTTATATAAAAATTAGTTTTTACTAATTTTTAACAGAATATTCTTGTAATATTAGGGTACAGCAAAAACTAGAGACAAGTTATTTTCCTTATCTTCAGCCACTCTAAAATAGCAGAAAACCCAAACAAAATGTCAAAATAAACAAACAGGTATCAGGATTATAAAGAAAGGTACCTGATCTGATTTGGTTTAGCTGTAAGAACACTGTCAGTAGAATTGATTCAAACTGGCTGCATTAGCTGTTGAGATTCAAACAAAAATGTGACATTAGTTTAAAAAATAAAACCAAACAACTATAACTAAGAGTTTTTTAACACGTTTTTATTAACTCAGCTTCGCGTGGATGTGTTTGTTGTTAAAATTGACATCGAAAATTAGCCCACTTCTGATTGCTCTATAGATCTGAAATTTGGCATGCAGGTTACTTTCGCCTAACAATTTCAGATGCAATCATAAAAACTAGCAATTAGAGACCGTAATTAGCTTAATTTAATTACGCCCAAAGGACCATAAAATTGAGGACATGATTTCTAAAGATACCGACAAGACTGGAGGCTTGTTGACACAGTTACTTCGGCCCCAATCGATGTGAGCGCGCTGGCCGTGATCGTATAGTGGTTAGTACTTCGCGTTGTGGCCGCGACAACCCAGGTTCGAATCCTGGTCGCTCAAGATTTTTTTAGTCCGTGTATTTATAAACACTTAGTCAATTCATACTTAATCAAGTCATTAGATAAAGTAGAAAATAAACTATATAAAAAACTTTTTTTAAAAAACACGTTTTTCATGTGTAGCAACGGACTAAAAAGGAGAAAATAAAATACTTAAAAAAAACTTTTTAAAAAACCACGTTTTTCTTGTGGACTAAAAAGTAGAAAATAACTATTTACATACATTTGATGACAAAAAACGTGGGTACGTTCACCATCAAATTTCCCGACCCATCTGCCCGACCCACGTTTTTTGTCATCAAATGTATGTAAATAGTTATTTTCTACTTTTTAGTCCACAAGAAAAACGTGGTTTTTTAAAAAGTTTTTTTTAAGTATTTTATTTTATAATGGGTAATTACATACCTTTTTAGCAAGTATATACTCCATCTGTAATCATCTGTAAGAATAACAGCAAACTATTTTAATTATATACATGTGATAACCTACAGTTAAAAATTAACTGAACATGCAGTGTTATTGATGTAGCTTATTCTTATTTGTAAAAACATACTTAAAATTGTACCCAGACCACTATTTAAGCAAACTAATTATACACCTTTTCAGTTTAAATAATGAAATCCCAATATATCACCAACCATTTGCTTTCTGCAATGACAAACATCAACTTGCACTTAAAAAAAATACCCTGAAACCAAAACTTGACACATTGACTCCAGATAAAACCCAAAGAAAAACTATCCAAGAATTTCTCATGGCCATCAATGCCATCACTTTAAATATACACAATGGACAACTAACTGCTCAAGAGAAATAATACTTACACCAGTAGTCAAACTAACAGTCGGCAACTCAACAAGCAAAGTTGTACACACTTGATTACAACAAAAGATCCTCTCAGCTGTCTGGTGCTTCATGACTTTCCAATGACCACCAAACCAAGAGAAAAAAATCAGCAGTAGAGCTTACCTTATGTTGGTCCCATCTTCCATTGTACAATCTAGCTTGGAACAAGACCAGTTACTTAGCCCAACATTGTCTAAATCTCATCCTATGATTCTGGCAACAATCCACCGAGAAAGTGTACCAATAAAACAGCCACCAAACAAACTGCACATTCAACTAAAGCTGGAACTTTTCTTCTTTCAAACAGCTTCTTCACATTGGCATATTCAGAGTTTAATGAACGTTCCGAGTTACTATTTAGGAGCAATTCTACATTTAGCATTAAAAAAACAAACGTTCCAATCAATACCTTATGACCAAATTTTTATTTTTATTTCAACCCTGTTTTAACACAAGAAGTTGCTTCAAGGAGACAGTAAATTTAAAACTTATCCTTACAACCTAGTCTCTTTGAAAACAAAAACTTCAAACTTTCTTTGTGGACAGCAAAACCTAGTTCAACATGGCCACTGCTAAGCATTGAGAAGTAAAGATTCTTCTTTAAGAAGCTCAACACTTGGACAGTGACAGTAAATTGTACAGCTTAACTTGATGTTGCCATCAAAACAATGGTGCATTAACTGCCCAGACAAAAAAGTGAAATAAATTTGATCAATAAGTATAAGGTGACAAGAAATGGATCCATAAAAAACTTTATTTCATGACATTTAAACATCAATCATGCTCAATACTCACTGAGATTTATTGTTTAACAAAAATGGAGCTATCATAACTTGCAAACATCCAACACAGTATTTTTAAAAAAAAAAAAAAAGATGTTAAAACTATAAACAATGTTACACTAAAACAGGCCAGAGAACAGTGGTCCCACAACACTGACATTTATTATATTACATAGTACAAACGAGAAAACCTTACTGCATCTACTACATTAGCCCCGTGAAAACACAATAACGGCCAAGACCATAAAATCATTCTACATAAGATCCTTAGTCGGCATCACAAATTTTGAAACATTAAAATTAAGATATAAAACAAAGTTCTTTAAAATCACAAAATCAAAATTGATGAAGGAAGACAACCATTTGACCTCGAGAAAAGATTCAGCACAAAACAGGAGAGCAAAACTACATTTTCACGGCTAATGAAGTCCTTTTGCGGGGAACTACTATACATCTATCTCCAGTTACTCACATCAATTGCGATGAAGAGAAACATTTATGTTTCGCCTTTCCAGTCTTGACTTGTTTTTCAAACCTTTTAGTAAGTTAAGGATTAGGAATCTTATTTCTTACTCTAATATTAAAATCCTTTGAAAGCTATCGGACATGCCCTTAGGCCTTTTTTAATCATTGTAAAACTAAAATCTGGTTTCGTATTTTGGGGCAGCATTGTCAGAAGAAAGGCAAAAAAAGTGATTATTCATTAAAAATTATGAAATGTCACTAGTCATACATAGAGCTAAAGGTATAATACCTACACACCTCTAATAAGAAAGGATACTTATAGCTCTTTGAGCATCAGCTTCATTGCTGAATCTCACATAACCAATGCCTGTTGACCTCCCTTTATCCATTACAATTTCAGCAAACTTGACATCTCCTGTAAGACACATGTCTATTTTCAGTTTAAAGGCTTACTTAACAAATTACTTTATTTGTAAATATCTTTTCTATACTTTTTAACTTATGAGTTTTAAAAAATTATTTACCTGCATCTCGGAAATGTTCTTTTAATGCTTGCCAGTTTATACTGTACGGTAACTAAACAGAAAAGAGAGAGAGAAAGGGAAATAGGGGTACAGTAATTATTAAGCAAAAAGAGAGAGGGGGGATGGGGAGAGATCACTTCAATATACAATGACCAGGAGCAAAAAAAAAAATACAACTATCTACAAAACACCATGAGTTTGTTACTTACATTTTTGACGACTATTGTGCAGTTGTCTGGCCGAGTCGTTCTCCTATTCCCAGCATCCATTTCTCTCATGTCTTGACCACTGTTCCCACCATATCCATCCCTCATCTTATCCATTCTATCATTTAAACCTCCCATCCTATCATTCATGCCTCCCATTCTATCCATACCCATTCTATCTCTGCCCATCCCAATTCCATCTAATCCAAGCCTATCACCACTTCCTAGTCTGTCACCAGATCCAAGACCCGCTGATAAAGAGCTTAGACTGGGGCCCAGCCCCCCAAGTCCAGAGAGGCTGGAATTTCCATTGTAACTGGACCCTCCCAAACCAGAGTAACTGTTGGAATAACTATCAGACATTCCCATCTTTGATGATCCTCCAAGTCCAAGGTCTGAACCCCCAAGACCACCCATGCCCATGCCACATGATCCGCCTGGGCTAGATCCAAGCCCCATTCCCATTCCCCCTAAACCACCTAATCCCCCAAGTCCTCCTCCAAATCCCATGTCTGGTCCTCCACCCATACCAGCACCAAGTAAGCCTAAACCAGAGCCTCCCATTCCCATTAAACCACCTCCACCCAATCCAAGATCTGTAAGTAAACAAAAATATCATACTTATTCCATGCTTTAAAAACAAAATAACTGGTTCAGATATGGCCAAACAAAAGAAATCCAATGACATTATTACTAATTTAAAATATCACTGAACATCTGAAACTAAATGCCAGTTTGAAAGCTCCCAAATACAAATCTTCAAAACTCACCTTGCTTGTAGAATGAATCTGATAAACCCATACCCGCACCTATAAAATATAATTAAAGTTTATATTGTAGCTTTACAGCCAAACTGAAATTATAAACTTACAGAGACAATATAATTTTAAAAATTCAGTACCTACAAAAATATACACATATTAAATCTTATTGCAGCTATAACTATGATTAATTTGGGCACGCCTAAAACAAATAAGTGTCTAGCTTTAACTAAGGTAATAACATACAAAGATTAAAAAAACTTTATTACATAGATACTCACTACCTCCTAGCTGACTAATGTTTGTTAGAGGCGCTCCACCAGACCCAAGCCCCATACCAATTGATTTCAAGCCACCTGTAAATCACAACAATAATACAATAAATTTTAGTTTACAGTAAACTACCAGTTATCCTTATACAAGATAAGTGGTTTCTTCTGTATACGTCAATAAATACATATACATATTCAATCCCCTTGTTGATTGTAGTAGTATTTAGACATTTTTATTAGAGCTGCTAGCTTATACTTTATTCAGCTTAACATGATACAAACTTACTCGGTAATTTTGGCTTTTCTGGTTCTCTTCCTTTGTCTATACGTACAATCATGTTTCTTTCATACAAAACTTGACCGTTAAACATAGCTGTTATTAGTTATGGACAGTAACTACTTCAACAATATAATTAAAGAACTTTAGAATCTTTGATGCATTTTTAAATGACCAGATAGTAAAAACTTGTAAACACTGGTATCTAATATTTGCTTTACAAACTATGGCTTGTAATTGCCAAATCACATAAAAGAATAGCTTATTGTTCAGGTATCAAAACAGTTTTACTTCCTGTAACACAGAGCTAAATGTCATTTCAACCATGAGAACTTAAATTTAAAAATCCATGTAGGTGCTTGAGTCTTAAATAGCTTTATGAATAACAAAAATTATATATAAAATCGCAATAATTATTTTTTTAAAAAGGCGTTTTTATTGGTTTTAATTTCACTACATTATATTTCCCATTAATCCTATAAAAAACGATTTTATACTTTCTATATATAAACACAGAAAAATATTTGTTAGTGAATGTTAGTGATAAAACTAGAATGATGCAACTTTTAGAAATTTGCTATTAATAGATGTAGCAGTAAAAAATTCTCTTTGATTAAAACAGCATAAAGGATACACACAGCTTGAACAGCTTCCATAGGATGTTCAAATACAACCACACCCATGCCTCTTGATTTTCCTGCTTTGTCCTCTTTTATCTCAGCTTTAATAACATTGCCAGCCAGCTTAAAAACATCTTTTAATTTCCACCAAGTCACTTTATAGTCAAGCTTTAAAAAAAACAAAAGAAAAGCCTTGAATTAATTATTAGTAAATAGGCACATACAAAAAATATGTTTTAAATAAACGAATACTCACATTGGCAACAAAGACAGTATTGGTAATAGGTGGTTCTATTCCCAGTTGATTAAGGATCTGTGGATTAATACCAGGAGGCAGTCCTACAGGTCCCATACCTCCACCCAATCCCACAGGTCCCATTCCTGGACCACCCATGTTAGGATCCATCAAGCCCCGGTCTCTCATGCTTTGATGCTGTAAAAATTCTTGCCGATCCTTTTCTCTCTCCTAAAACATATAAAATAGTAGAGAAAAAATGTAAAATGACTGACACACATGGTTAAGGTCCAAGTTAAAGATACTGTCTTCACACTTTTTTTATCAATAATTATTTAATCATTACAGAGTTTTCATATCAGTACAATAATAATAAATCATACAACATACCTCACGAACAATAATAGCCCTGTCTTTTATCTTCTTTTGATGATATTCCTCTATTGCTTTTTTTGCATGGTCAGGGTCACGGAATTCAACCACCCTATTTAATATGACACAACATACAATTATCCTTTAATTTTTTAAAACATACATTAAAGAGGAATTTGCAATCTCCTGACATTTTCAAACAGACAACAGTAGTATGCAGAGAATTTTTATCAGCCTGATGGTCCTGAACCAGATACTAATATTATCAATAACATAATTCATAAAATTTCTCTCCAACAATAATAACAGCAAGGTAAAAAATACTTACGCAACTCCTTTTGATTTTCCATCAGGGGTTTCAAGCATTTCTACGTAAGTTACATCTCCAACTAAACAAGGCAAAAAATGATTTATTAATGAATAGTGCTTTTTTATAAAAATTATATTTGTCATTAGGTGCATCATATTTCATAAGGTAAATACTTACTGTCTTTACGAAACATATCTTTTAGTTCTTGCCACCTTACTTCATAAGGAATATTGCGAACAACAACACGTCTGCCACCTGTGAATGGCCTTGAACGGTCATTTCTGTTTCTTCTAGGCGATCTGGAGCGAGATCTATGAACAGGTGATCGAGATCTGGACCTTGCCCTAAAGTTAAATTAAAAAGAAAAATGTTCATTACTCATCAATTTATCAGTAGCTTTTTGTCATCATGCTCCTTATTAATAATTTGAATTCAACTGGTTTTTTTTAAATGTATAACAATAATTTATTATGATGCATATCTTAATTTTTAAAAGCACAACAAAAAAGCCCACATCAGCAACCAATTTTTCCCAGGTGCTCTCATAGGAGGAAGTGTTTGTGTAGTGAAGCACACTATTTCTAGCTATTAAGTAAGTAAGTAGTAAGTCTCTTAAACCACCCAGCCCTGATAAGAGCCAGACTTGAATTAGAACAAGGTATAGATATTGCAGACATTATGCCAGAAACAAATACCATACTCGAACTTTATTTTTTTTTAAATGTAGGCCTACAACTTAGGTAACCAAGAGGATTATTTATCTTATAAAAATGCTAATATTAAAAATTAAAATACATGCAACGAGTACAGAGAATAATTCATTAAGCAATTTTTTCAAACAAATACACACATAAAAAGTGTTTAATAATTTGCATGAGTTTTGGTTGGTAATGGGAAAACATTGAAATAATTTTTTTCTCTCTACACTCTAGATTCTACTTTTAATATTTACTCCACTAAAAATAAACCTTACCCAAATGTTTAAATATGTATATCAGGTAACAGTTAAGGGGTCGTCCATAATGACGTCACACTAGAATGGGGGTCCGTAATTTTATGACGGTGTGCGATGAGGGGGAGGGGGGTTCAGATGGTGCGACGTCACACTTTTACATAATAAAAAAGCAATGTTAGAAAATGAATTTTAGAAGTTATTTCGCATTTTAGAAAACTGATTTAATAAATTGTAATAGGAATTGATTAAAATTCTTGATTTTTACAGAGTTAAGACAAGATTTTGGAAAAATATCGATGTTTTAAAAAAAATTCAACTGCAATTTTGAGGGGGGTTGTAGGCTGAGGTGTGACGTCATTTTAGGGGGGGTCTGGCTTTTGTGATGACGTGTGACAGGGGGAGGGGGGAGGTAAAAATCGCTTTAAAAAAAGCATGACGTCATTTATGGATGACCCCTAAGCAATACATGCTACTGAAATAATAAAACTTTTGAGGTCTAATAAATTTTTGTGGACACCCACACAGGGTTGGGGGGTTGTTGAAAGCAGACGTGTGTGTGTAGTCTAAATCCAAATTTTTTGTTGACGTCACAATTGCGTCACCCCAGCCCATAGTGCAGTGTTGGATGAGTTTGGGGAGACAGCTCAGCAGACAGACCTTTTTCCAAAAACACTTTTTAACAAGTTTTTTAACTAGTGCTAAGAATTGTATTTCTGTCACAGTAGTTTTGAGATTACTTTTATAGTGTTTAGTTATGACAATTCCACCTTGACTGGGTCAGGGATGGCTTCATAAACGTCTAATTTTTATTATGGTCACATCTGATACTTATTTAACTTCTACTCATGCCAGCACAATATAAAAAAATATACACCATAAAATTAGCAACTTAGGTGTAGGCATTTTCATTCTCTTATTTACAGTCAACATTCCTGTGAAGCTTCAAAAAAATGTGTAATTCTAAATGCACAGTTTCAGTTGATTCAAATTACATGCATAGAAACACAGAGTAACATAAATTTTCAGATAAGATGGTATTTTTTAAATAAGTAGAATAAGAGTACAGTAATGAAATAATTGTGAGCTAATAGATAATTTTTGCAAGTACCGTTTAAAAATTAAGATTTAGAAAAAAAAAAGAAATCATGGCATAAAACTTTTTAGCCAGTCTGGATTGTCCGACTTTACAAAAATCCCTTACTTATGGGCTTACCGTAAATTTTTCTTATCATCTGAACAATCGACTGTTCCAACCAATGGTTGGTGCTGTTCAGTTGGGGGGAGAGGTTGGCTAAAAATAAAACAACAGAAATCTCAATCTCCATAAAATAGATCAAGCTTTACACCAAGACTGCTGATATTATATGGTCACCCTTATAAAAAAGAAAACGTCAATTGTTCTCAACAAGTTAGTAGAAAAAAATCCAAACAATTCACAAGTTAAATATAATTTTATCTACTATTGTTCTCTGGATGAAACCAATGAAAATTTAACTTGTAATGGTTCAGTAAGAAAATCCACTATAGTTTGTTTTAACTTATAAAGAGAATGTAGTCTTGTAAAAAAATTAAATTGTTCAAGCTATTAACATCAATAAATTTAACATTTACTTATATAAAAAGGCTTTTTTTTTAAATATGAAAATTTTATGCCATATTTCTTTATAGGAATTTTAAAAACATTTTTAATGATGCATTGTTGTAGTAAAAGGCAGAAAAGGGTTTTCTAACTAATTTCAAATTTATATGCAAACCAAAAAATTAATATACAACTCAAATAACATAAGCTGTTAAGCTTAACACACAATATTAGATTTGTTGTAAAAGTTAAAATAAACAAAAAAACATTGTTTAGTATTAGTAGTTAGTAAGTGATTTCTTTTTTAAAAAATACAAAAAAGAAATAAAAATTAAATTACTGTAATTATAGGTCAGATACATTCAGAACTTTTGAAAATGTTATAATCATTATACAATAAACAGTAGTAATTTTAAGCAAACATAACTACTTCAAACAATTGAAGATACAGATCTAACTATTATTTTTAAAATTGCCAATACAATGCAGCATTGCATTTTACTTAGTTCAAGCAAGAGTACTTATAGTTTCAAGCACAGCTTCAAAAATGTAGTTTCTCTGTTGCTAGTTTAACTAAACAGACTAAACAAAACAGAAACACAAAACAAGGATGGTTTTTTCTGCTCGCATCAGAGTACGTTGTATTTTAGAGATGGGTCCAGTATAGATTACAACAAAAAAAAAAGTTAAATTTGTATATCAACAGTATGATGTTATCTGTTATATGACCAGGGAAAATTTGCCCCTTGGAAAGTTTTGGAAACTCATAATTGCAAAGCGATTAAGTTTGTATACTATGAACTTATATGAACCCATAGTGCCTTCAAAACTGACATGTGACGATAATTAAAGTGAATGTGAACTCCTGGTGAACCCTTTATCTTGTAGGGAATTTTTTCCTGCGATCGGGCGATCACATACTATTTATTATTACTGTAGGCCTAATGCTTATTTATGTTTTGGCCTATTCTAGTCGGGAAAAAAAACATGCGCAATGGATAGAAACTACCGCCTTTATTCGCTGCTATGTTTTCGATGGTACTGCGCATGCCTGTGATTAAAAGCAAACCGCAGAACCCTTACCCTAGCGCAGCTATTAAGATCACTGCGCATGCGCAGAACTATTGAGTTTTGAATCTTCTGCCAAATCTTTTTCTGAGTAGTCACTTCGTTATGTTTAATACTTGTTCTAATAAAAACACACATTCATTAAAAAAAATTTAAGTAGATCTAGATCTAATCATAGTGTTTTCTTAGGGGGAATTTCTATACCAGTGCCCGATAATAGAATCTTCTTTAAAAAAGGGTGTTAGGTTACTGGTAGTTAACTAAATACACATATGACTGGCTAATATCAATGCTAACCCTGTCCCTAACCCTAATTTCTAACCATAAAATAGTCGAGATTACAATACTACTAACAACACAACACACCTATTTTATCGAAGAGTCTATTATCGGACATCGTTATCTAAAACGAAGTTGACTACTCGGAAGATTTTTCTCCCTAACGTCTCCACTTAGTCGGCAAAAGATAGCTCTGCACATGCGCAGTGACCTATAGTATGGCTAGGGTTAGAATGAGGGTTAGGGGTAGGATTAGGGCTAGGGTTAGGATTAAGGTTGGTGTTAGGGTTCTGCTGTTGTAAACACACGCATGCACAGTACCATCGAAAACATCGCAGCGGAGGCAAGTCGTAGTTTCTCTCCATTGCGCATGCGGCGTATGGCATGTAGGCCGTTCGATTCAACACTTCCGGGTTTGTCATTTTCGTGGCATCTCACGGCTCATGCGCTTACTAAAAATGGCGACCAGTTTCGCTTTCACTAAACGGTAGAGGGATAAAACTAATAATAACGAGGCCATCGTTAATTTTAGACATCGGAACTATCCGTTTCTATTTCAGTCTGTTATTTAAGAATTCCCAGATGTACTTTTGACCTAATTTCTTTATTTGTATTTAACGAGGCCGTCGAGAGACAGTCACGCTTACTTAGCTTGCGTTGCAAGTCGAATTAACTAAAGAAGGTGCATTCTACAATAACTTTCTTATAAGATACAATTTGTATAACATCTTTACTATCAAATAAAAATAGAACTGTTTAATATAATTAGGGTGAAAACAATGCTTTTGAGGGTGTAAGTAATAATGCCATTTTATTATATTCTTGTTTGGTGAAAACGAGGCGCGGGAAAATGTGTGCCGCGCAAGAATCCAATCATTTGGCTAGATTTTATGTCACACCTAAAAATAGAATGTTTACGCTTTCTTCGTTTTTATTATTTTTTTAATTGAAAGTATGAATTATTAGTTAGATTGCAGATTTTGTAACTTGGTATACTTACCCTTTATCAATTTTAAAAACATAGCATGCTTATTGTGAACAAATATAGTCATAAAACACAGAAATATAAAGTTATAATTAAATATAATTGCGATGTGCCACACCCCCTCAAGAAAGCATGTGTTTATTAAGCTGTTTATCTTACTTTACAACAGTAATTAAAATTAATTTTCAAATTTTTATCACTTAGGCCTATTGGGTAAGATTAAGCACATGTTTACCAAAAATAAAAAAAAATAAAAAAAGCAAATTCTGTTTTAATGAAGGTCACGGGTGAAGTTTTTTTTCCCTTCTGTCACGTTCAGTGGAGGGTGCCACAGGCTGACCTGACTTTGGAATTTTTTTCAGTAATAATGACTTTGCACAGAAAGTTAAAATATGCTAAATTAGCTTAGTTTACTAGTGTTCTAGCTATTATTGATACATTTTTAATAAAAAAAATCATTCTGTAATTCTCATCAAAAAGCCTATGGCATGCGTATCTTATTCCGGCTAGCATCGACCTATCTTAACTATCTAAAATCATCCTTTTCTTAATGTTTTTTAGGGTTTCGGTTGTGCTTATAATAAGAGAGTGTCTATTCGTACTTCACTACGAATAGCCCTCAGAAGGCTATTTGTAGTGAAGTACAAATAGCCTTCTGAAGGCTATTTGTACACTGACCAATCAGATTGTCGGAAACTATCTGTACACTGGCCAATCAGATTAGCGGAAGCTATTTGTACACTGGCCAATCACAGCAGTGGAAAATCCCGCCCAGTTTAATCAAGCTTAGGCCTACTAGCCTTCAAAGTACTCGTGATACTACATACTAGTTTAGAGCCGCGCATTCGACAAGAAAGTTTTTATCGTGATGGACGCCATGATTTTGGATGGTTTTGTTCTAAACAGTTGTTTTGACAGCTACAAGGAGTTGGAGGCTGCTATTAAAGTTTTGGAGGAGTTTCAGAACTGTGTTTTTTTAAAAAAAAGTTCTAGGAAGTTGAAGGTAAGTTAAAGTTAATCCAATTTCTTCATTGTGGTAATTTATTGCTTTGCCCTTTAGGTAGGTAGATCTAGACTCTAGTCTGGATTTAGATCTAGATCTAGATTCTACGTATTAACGTATAATCGCCCGCGACTAGATCTAGATCTACATCTAGAAATCTAGTTATGTGAAAAACAGGTCGCTCCTTTAATAATTAATTTTAATTAACATTTATTATATTTATAGGACTTGATCTAGTTTTGAAATTTAGATTACCCTATCGTCATGATTACCATTAGATTCTAGATTCTTGATCTAGAATGATTTTGTGACACTTTTTTTTGTCAATTTTGAATGTTTTTTTTTCAGTTATGTTCAGCCACTGAATCTGAGAATTTGGTGTATGAATTTATACTTTATGAATGTAAGCATGGTGCTGAAAGGAAATCAGCTTCTAAAGGAATTAGACCCAAATCAAAAGTTAGTAATGGTGCCTTTTGTGGTTGTTTTATTTTCTATTTCTATGTTCATTTTACTACTTATAATTATCTTTTACATGTCCTTGGGTTTTGTAGTCTGTATTAATTAGATCAGGGAGAGGGGGTGCGGACCGCACCGGGTGGCATCACCTATTATTGTTGATCCTATGCCTTCGGCTACTGCTAATGTAACTTTTGCCACATCACCTATTATTGTTGATCCTATGCCTTCGGCTACTGCTAATGTAACTTTTGCCACATCACCTATTATTGTTGATCCCATGTCTGTTGTTAATGATTCTTTTAATTCTGGGCCTTCTACGGCATCTTTTTCGCAAGTAAAGTTGCAAAGTATTAGGGTTAAGGGTAGACCTAAAAATAAACAAACTTTTACTTTGCGCAAAATAAAACCTTTAATACCTGTTGTTTTTAGTAAAATGCCTGATGATTTGAAATTTAAATTTTTTTTTATCATGTTGTGTAACTGGTGGTGAGCCACCTTTTAATGTATATAATCTTAAGCCTGTTGAGTTGTTGGGTGTTTGTTTGGTTGATAATGACTTTAGTGTTATTGAAACACAATTTACCGATGAAGCTTGGTGTGAACTTCAGACAAGGGTTAGTTTAAAAGTGAGAGAAAATTTGTTTTCCTGTTTTGAGTGTAAAGCTTTGGATGATGGCATGTTGAAAATGATAAAGTGTGATGGATGTTTAGAGTGGTTTCATTATGAATGTGTAGGTTACAGATCAAAAATGAAGGTTAAGACATGGTTTTGTAAGAGTTGTTGGAAGTAATTCATTTCAGTCTTTATTTGCTATGTGCTTTTTTTTAATTTTGCAAATATTTCAATGTTTTTAATTTATTAATGATAATGTGGTATTGGCTATCTGAGCTTTCTTGCAAATTATTATTCATTCATTCATTTCAATGTTTAATATTTATTAATGTGGATATATGCTTTGTAAATAAAAGCTCAATTTCTATGTTTGTTTCTTGTTAATTGTATATGAATAGTAGCAAACAAATCTAAGATTTGTTTAAATTTAGCATGTTTTGAAAATTTGACAGCAAATATTTCAGATGAAATTGTACCATATCTATAAGGGGTCATTTTATCTCAGTCACACGTCACAAAAAGTCAGACCCCCTAAAATATCTCATCTCGGCCTACAACACCCACCCACGCTCATGATTGCTGTTGAATTTTTCTTAACACATCGATCTTTTTCCAAAACCTTGTGACGTCACACCATCATAAAACTACGGACACCATCACCCCCCCCCCCCACTACAAGTGTGACGTCATTTATGGAAGCTATAAGAGACAAGTATTAATAACTTATAAATGGGATGTCTACGTGTTGACTGAATTCCTTTGAAAAACGACTGGTCTGGGTCAACATATGTTTTATTGATACATACATGTTTTTATTACAAACAAACAAGACAATATAATTTAAAACTACTTGTTAACAGCTTATAATGCATTCAGTTACTAAACATGCATTTCTAATTTTGTCGCTACCTTTGCGTGCAGAGTTTCTTCCAGGCATCTCTTCGGGGGGGCGAAGCCCCCCCGAAAAATTTTTACCGCCCCCCCGAACGAAATGAAATTTATATAATTTATATAGAAAATATATACTTTTAACAGTGTCCGCCCCCCCGAAGAAAGTTTACCGCCCCCCCGAAGATTTCAAGTGCCCCCCCGGAGAAAAAAGTCTGGAAGAAACACTGTTTGCGTGTGTGTAAAAGCTATGTGTCATCCTTATGATTTTAAGGCGATTTCTACCTCCATTATATCACAAATGCCAGACCCCCATCCTTATGGATACTTACAGTAATCCTTAATTGTCTTTAGATATCTATAATCTCTTCTATATAATATACACGTACATAATTTATTTGAAAATAATTATTCAATAATACATATGAATTGGCCTAATTAATAATAATATTAATAAATAATTATTCAATAATTGTTGTCTAAGGACAAGTAGACTCTAGTTAATTACGGGACCTAGGCACAAAACTTGAATAATGTTTAAGGGAGATGGTGGGGGAAATGCCTTGCTCTGATTGGTCAGTGTACAAATAGCCCCCAGAAGGCTATTGGTACTTCACTACAAATAGCCTTCTGGGGGCTATTCGTAGTGAAGTACGAATAGCCGCAGCCTATAATAAAATAAGTTCAACCGGAGGTGAACGTGAAGAGGAGAATAAAATACGCTACAATGGAGTTGTTTTTACTGTAAACTTGTTTCATTGACCAGAGTTGGATCTCAATCCCAGATGGCAGATGCTCATGATTATAGGCTGAAACGTTAACTGAATAGTATAGATTTTAAATCTTAATCTATATTGTAGAATTTGTTTGTTGCTGAGTCAACAAGCTGCTGTCTAAACTAAAATTTAAAAATTACTTAAAACTAAAAATAAATCAGAATTCCAGAACTCTCATGTCTCAACTTTGTTGATTTTCATTTTCAATCACTGCTGAATCATGTCCGTAGAATATTTGATGATTGGTGTGACACATAAGCTTTGTATACTAAAAAGATTAAGGGCGTATTCATGTTGCAATAACTAATTATGTAAAGTGTAAAGTTACCTCTCTGACTTCTCATCCGACATCCTAAAAAAAATTGTTAGGTAAAAATAACAACAATTTGAAATCGTAAGTATTAAAATGGACGCCGGAACGCATTAAGAATCGAAGACTTGCAGCTAAAATAATCGATACTTTAAAAATAAAACGATACGATTTGTTTCATAGGGAGCAAAATAGGCCTAACTCAGTCAAAACTTTTTTTCGATTTAGAATCTACTTTTATTACATCCTACAAAACATGTTCATGTATCATGAGATTTTTCGAACAGGATCGGTTAACTGAATAGGAAGGAGTTTAGACCGTGATGTTAAAAAATCGCTTTCTTGTTACCACGGCGAAGCAAAACTCCCCATAACCTACGTTGAATCAAATTAAACGTAAAACAACTGAATATTCTATTAGAAAAAAAGTCTATATATATTATATATATATATATATATATATATAGAGAGAGAGAGAGAGAGAGAGAGAGAGAGAATTACTCTTTATGTTATATTTAATAGTTATTTGAGTTCATAAATGGTTTGTGTGAATTTTTTCATATACAAAAATCTGGCCATTTTGGTCTTGATATTAAGTCGATTATTAAACTATTTCAATACCGGATAGTTAAAATTGTTAATAGATGTTAGATAGGCCTATGTTCTAGATTTTCTAGATTATATGTTGTATCAGTCCTCGTCTAGAATTTATTTTTTATTTTTATTTTTTTTTGCTTTTTTAATGATAAAAGAAAATTTTGATTATTTAAAATAATTTTGTTAGGCGCTGTATAGTGTATAAGGACTGTAAAGAAGAGCTGGGGCAAGATTATGAGACATCAATACTGTTTTATTGCAATTTTCAGTAGTGTGGCGTCATTTTTTTACGCCAAGTACCTTATCCCTTATTTATTTTGACCTTTAAAAAGCACCTACTAACTATCTGGTGTAGGCCTAATAACCAGAGGCATAGTCAGGGGGTGCGGACCGCACCGGGTAACACCATTAAGGGGGGTGACACCAAGGCAAAAAATAGCAAAATATATAGAGAAAAAATGATAATTCCACTTAATTGATTAATTTGAGTGTTAAATAGTCTTTTAAGAGCAAATTTGACAAATCTCGACAAGGGTGGGGGGGGTGCAAATCGAAAGTTTGAGGGGGGGGGTGCAAATCGAAAATTGAAAGGTTGATCCAGAGAGAGCGCCAAATTGAATGTTTATCCCCGGGCGCCGGGAAGGGTCACTACGCCTCTGAGTGCCGCACCGGGTGACACCCGACCTCGCTACGCCACTGAGGGGAGGTAAAAAAAAATTAAATAATTTTTTTTTAAAATATGTAAATACATATACATGCGTATATACATACTTACTTATATAAATTCAAATTTGGCAGGCTCCTGCCTTGGGGCAATAGAACACTGGGGCCGCGACCTGTTGGCCGCAAAGTCCACGAAGAGAGGGTCGAAACTGACCTCGACTGACCAGCGCATTATATGAGCTATATTACGAAAAAAACTTTTGCCAAACGAGCCCCCTTGATATTTTGTGAGGTCGTAGACCGATCCTGGAGGGTAACAAAATAAAATTATTCCCGT